GATTTGAAGGGTATCTACTGATTCCATTCTGCTCAGTTAACCTTCATTTTGCCAGCCTTTGGAAAGGCAGAAGTGACTGGGATGTGGTCTTTGCCCTCAACTAGTTCACCATGTAGCGGGCAGACCTAGGACAGATTTGACTTGCTATTCCTACTGCAAGGCAGTGAGGTCAGCCCTGTGGCCACTAGTAAAGTATTAAGGAAGGACAAAGTAGAAAGCTCTTAATTCTGTCTGTTGGATTCATAGATAATTCACAAAGGATAATTCACGTGCCTTTTTCTTATTCTGCTGATTTATTATTTTTTATGTATAGAACCTCCCTTTGCAACTTTGCAACCACAAGTTTCTTGAAGACAGGACCCATGCTCAGTCCGTCTTGGTTCTCCCGCAGCGTGCTCAGGAAGGAGTCTGGTGTATAGCAGGCACCCAGTACAGGTTTCCTGGTTGGTGATGCCTCTCATCACCTGGCACCCTCTCTCTCGCCTCAGCCGGTGCCACCTCAGCCCCTGGGCCCATCCACTGGCCTCTCGTCTGTTTCTGCGGTGCTGCAAGTTATTTCTCATCTCCTAGTGCCTTTCCACATGCTGTCCTTGTGGCTTAATCCTGCTTAATAATTCAGCTTCCAGCTGTGCAGTCCCTAATTCAGAGAGACCTTCCCTAACTCCTCGCCCATCCCCCAAAATTCCAAAAGAGATCCTCTCGGGACTGGTTTAAATGCATTATGGAGCATCCATTTACTAGAATGCTGGTGGTCATTTAAAAGAATAAGATGTATCCGTATATTGATAAAGAGAGATAAAAGCAAATTGCAGAACAACATATTTGTAACATGATCCCAATTGCAACCATTTTTAAAAGGGGATATCTGCTGTGATACGCATAAATTCTCTTCAGTAAATATATACAAGCAATTTGTAACAGTGATTACCACTATGGGAGGAGGTGTCTTTTAAGGTATTTTACGTTTGCAAAGGAAGCATGGGTGAGTGTGGGAAGCTCGGGTGTTACCATCGGACTGGCGCCAGGAGCCTGGCTCTGTCTGTTATTAACGGTTTCACCTCATAAAAGCTGCCTCATCTCACTGAGCCTCAGTGTTCTCATCTGAAAAAATGGTGGTAACTGGGCAGGGTGAAATGAGAAGATGAAGGTAGAACCATTTAGTGTGTCTACATGCTCAATATTATAATATCTGTTGAATGAACAAGAATAGTTATTGAATATTTATTACATACGGAGCACAATGCTAAGTATTTTATAAAGATTATTTCATTTAATACTTACAACAACCATATGCGATAGGTGTAATTATGATCCCCATTTTACCGATGAAGAAACTGAGGCACAGAGAGGATTAAGTCACAATAAGTACATGGTGGAGCCAGGATTTGAAACCAGCTATCCTGCCTCCAGAACCCTGGTGAAGTAGTGGTTAAGTGCTCGGCTGCTAACTAAAAGGTTGGCAGTTCGAATCCACCAGCTGATCCTTGGAAACCCTGTGGGGCAGTTCTACTCTGTCCTGTAGGGTTGCTGTGAGTCAGAATCGCCCTTTACGGCAACAGGTTTGGTTTTTGTGGTCATCCTGCCTCCAGGACCTCTGCTGCTAACCACTGACCAGGAGTCCTGCCCACCACACTTTACTATCTCGTTGTTATTGTTCTTCTTATTAGCAGCATAGAAGAAAGTAAGAATAAAGTTAATTATTGGATTTTTTAAAAGAGTGGTAGCTTTTCAACAGTACTAGAGCTGAGTCCTGTAATCCTCTTATTCTCTCTGTTAAAATCTTGTGCTTTGAAATGTTACGCTTTACAACCTGAATCAGACTGGGTCCCCTGTCCAGATTTGCAGGTCAAGTCGCCGTCTCTGATTGGAGGCAGGGCTGGCTCATCCCATGTAGGAGCCCTAGTGGTGCAGTGGTTAAGTGCTGGGCTGCTAACAGAAAGGTCAGTGGTTCAAACCCACTAGCCACTCCACAGGAGAAAGATATAAACATTATAGCCTTGGAAACCCTGTGGGCATTTCTCCTTTGTCATATAGGGTCACTATGAGTCGGAATTGACCTGATTAACTACTGGGTTAATTTTGTGAAGACACAGATTTCTCAAGTACATTTTCTTTTTTCTAGGTTTGCGTACGGTGTAAGCATGTTTGTGTTTGCGTGTGCGTGAGAGAGGTGGGGGCTGGGTAAGGGAGAGTGGGACAGAGAGAGAGAATTCCCAGGAACCTGTTATGTACACATAAGCAAGCACTTGTCTGTGGTTGTAAGTCAGAAACTGTAAAATTGCAAAGTTCTTTGAAGTTTGCCCAAAACTTGCTCCACGGCCACCTGTTCCACTGGGGGGCTGGGAGTTGGATGGCCTGGCTCTGCAGAGATGGCTAAAGCTGTCACTGCACCGGAATGTTCCAGCTTGCCTCGGCCTGGCTGTCATCGCTGGCTCTGTCCCACTCAGGCAGTTCACCGGGTTCTGCCGGGCACCAGGCTTCCAATTAGAGAGAAGTCCCACTGTGTGGCCAGCCCCACCAGTGCCACTCTGAACGGCCTCTTTGCCAAGGCCCGAACTGACCTCTGATCTGTCACAGATGGGCCAGCCCCACACTCTTTTGTGCACATTTGGAGGAGGGGGGTGCGGGTGAAGAGGGACATCCATGGGGAGTCAGAGTGGACAGTGGGCAGAAGTGCAATTCCTCAGAGCTTGGAGAAGCTGGGCAGAGCTGACAAGACCCAAATGCTAAAGTTGTGGAGGGAAAGGGGACTTTGGGAGACCCCGGTCTGAGCCCTAAACTCAGCATGGGACATTTTCTTAACAACTTCTGAATATTCATCTCAGGCTGGACTTCAGGCCCGAAGAGAGCCAGGAGCAGCAAGCTGGCTCCCTCCAAAACTGTCATGCTCTGATGGCACGTGGCACAGCCAGCTTCCTCCTGCCACTCTGCAGCCTGTGCGGTCTCAGCAAGCCGGGGAGCCTGCTCACCCTGGGCAGGGGAGCGATACTGCCCACAACCCTGACAGTGGACTGTAGTAATACCTCAGAGCAAGAGTGGAAAAGAAAGCCAAATTCCTATTAACATAAGAAGTAGAATCTTAGCTCTAGCAGGACTGAGATATATAAGTTTTGAAAAGCTTCTTTCTAGATACAGGACTTCATTATTTTGGGAGTGGGATACGTGTCTCTTTATTTCCCCTATTAGCAATTTCTTTTTCTTTTTAACCTTCTATTTTACTCTTTTTACCACTCTCTTGCTCTGCCTGTTTCTCTCTGCCTTACTTTCTGTGTCTCTGTCTCTCTCTTGCCATGTTCTCTTTCTCTTTGTTTCTAGGTACAACATCTGTGACTCCACACTCGGAAGTAATAATAAAGATGCCAGACTTGGAGCTGACATTTATATACTCTGGCTTAACTCGACTAGAGCAATCTCAGAGTCTAAATAATGAATAGCCTGAAAGTGGCAAGGGTCTTCCCAGCTGTTCTTGAAATGACTCTACTCTCTTTTAAAAATAAAATTGAATTCAATCTGTGGAAGCAGGAACGAAGGGTTTCTTCACTCTTCTCCCCTCCCTGGGATTTTTCCTTCTTTTGATGTTTGCAATTGGTTTGGGAATTCCAGGACTGCCTGGCCTCACTTGGCCTTTTTTGCCTGCCACGTCTCTTTTTTGCTCCGATTAGTTAACCCTAACACAACCCCTCAAACAGCTGGTGATACTCATTTAGAGAAGGAAATGTTTCTTTCGGGTGTGAGGCTGTTCCGATGAGAAGGTGGACTGTTTTTGGTTCCTTCACCAAGTTGCTGTAATTAAGTGATGTGCTGTCTCAGATCCTCTATTTGTGTGACTTTGGTAAACTCACAGAAGAAATGGCCTTGCATCTCCTCATCTGTCTGATCACAGCTGGAGAATTCAGAGAAGGCGATCCCCATGAAACAGCAAGAGAAATGTGATCATCAGTCTGGAACTGGCATTGTTCATTATATTCCAAAATCCATTCCAACTCATAACGACCCTATAGGACAGAGTAGAACTGCCCCATGGGGTTACCAAGGAGCAGCTGGTGGATTTGAACTACAAACCTTTTGGTTAGCAGCTGTAGGTGTAGCGCCACCAGGGCTCCATTTATTATATTACAACCTGGCAAATGGATTCCCTGCTCTTTGATACAATGGTGGGGAGCCAGGTTATTCACTAAGTTTAAAATGTCTTTCAGATGGAGGCAAAGGGAATGACCAGGACTGCAAAGGTTGCTCTCTTGAGCTCATGCACACGTGAGCCTTGCTCATAGGAGATGGCGCCCATGGCGACATCTACTTCAGGCCAATACACATCCTCGGTTCCTCTGTCTCTGACCACACCAGGCTCATTCATTGCTTCCTTTTATCCTTTCCTCTCCCAAGTGCTGTCTGGGGCTCTCTTCTCATTTCTTTACATTTCTACTTGGAGATCCACTCTGGTGGTTTCTAACCTGGTGCATGCATCAGGGTCACTGAAGAAATCTTAGGAAAATACAGATGCCTGAGCCCCACCTAAAAAAAAACAAACTGCTGTTGAATTGCCTCTGATTCACGGAAGCCCCATGTTTGCAGAGTAGAACTGTACTCTACAGGGTTTTCAATGGCTGATCTTTTGGAAGTAGATTGCCCGACCTGTCTTCCGAGGTGCCTCTGGGCGGACTCAAACCTCCACCTTTCAGTTAGCAGCTGAGTGTGTTAACCTTTGCACCACCCAGGGGCTCCAGAGTCCCACCTAGGAAGTCCTGATTCAGCAGGTTCTAGGGTAAGGCCTGGGCTTCAGAAAACGTTGAGGCCCCACCTTTGATTCTGACGTTCACCCCTATTTGGTACCATAACCGTAGACTGGGAGCTCCTGGAGGCCAGAGACTGTGACTGTCTGTTCTGCTCCCCAGCCTGTGGCCCCCCAGCTGACATGTTGAAGGTGAGTAAGTAATAAATGGAGAAGCAGGCAAGATTCCTGTTAGTGCTGCTGACGGTTTTGCCTCCACCTCTCATTGCAGATATTCCTGTTATTCCGGATCTGGAAGAAGTACAGGAAGAAGACTTTGTTTTGCAGGTGGCAGCCCCTCCTAGGTAGGTTAAATTAGATATGAAGTTGGCAAAGAGGCAGGGAACATGACACTCTAAATACCGTCTACAGGGGATGAATCCCAATGTAGATCCAGATGTTTCTGGTGATGGCTCCATCCCCAGAGTTCCCATTTTGGTGGGCATTTTGTTCCCATTTTCGTCGTCCTTGGCTGTGTACGAGGCTCTGGGGTCGGTGGCCCAGCAGCACTCCTGGAACTGGTCCCGTCTATGGTTCTTCCTCTCATTTTCTCATTCCTGCAGCATCCAAGTCAACCGGGTGATGACCTACCGTGACTTAGACAATGACCTCATGAAGTACTCGGCCTTTCAGACCTTGGTGAGTGGAACGACATCTGCACAGGCTCCTGCAACATCCATGGAAAGACTTCTCTGTTCCCCAAAAGCTGTAAAACGTCTCTTCCATGGGTCCCTGATGCTGCCTGGCAACCATACTCTGCTGGCTGGAGGCATTATCCTCGGGTATCTCTCAGTTTCCCTAGACCTAACATTTTCCAATGTTTTCCAGTGCCAGCGTTCCCCCCTGCCAACCCTGCTTCCATCAGCTGCATACCTGGCATCTGATGCCATACCTTTCCACTCTGGCCCTAATGTGCTGCTGTCATACTCTGCCCTTCTGGTGTTGACGTTTCCCCCAAAGAAGGCCCATTGGTGGGATGTCATGGCGTCCCCTCGTTTCTCGGTGGCCATATGGTCCCCTCACATTGTTACTTCTTTGTTAAGGTACTTCTCCGGGTCTGGATCAGGGAAGTTCTAATGCTCACAACTGGATCCTCTTTGCTTTGCAAGAGATTGCTGTGCAAAGGCCCTTGAGGTGAACAGCCTGGCTCTTTTTGTGTTCACAGGATGGAGAGATTGACCTGAAGCTCCTCACCAAAGTCCTCGCGCCAGAGCATGAAGTTCGAGAGGTACAGTAGCAGCAGCAGCTCCTTACTCTCTTGGCCTAGTCATTCCCATAACCAGCTGGCCCACAGGCTGAGCTTTGTCTCTCTGAGGCCCGGATGGGTGTGGGAAGGTGGCTGTGATTGAGGGCAAAGGCGTTTCTTTGTCTTACCCCACGATACCCATCTTGGCAGGCTGATGTCAGCTGGGACTGGGACCATCTGTACACTGAGGTATCCTCAGAGCTCCTCACAGAGTGGGACCAGCTGCAGATGGAGAAGGAGGACCCTGTGGGGCAGCCCAGGCAGCCCTGAACTCTGGGGAGGACAGCAGACCATTCTCCCTGCGCATAGTAACCTCTGCCTCAGACTTGAAAAAAATACAAGAAGCCTAAAACTAAAGAGGCTTACAAACAGCTTAGAATTTTTATCTGGAATATTTTGCAATAAAGGTATTTATTGTCAGCAGGCCACATTGGGTCACTCAATTATAATAAATTGCTTTACTCTCCGGTGGCCATCTCTTCCATTTCTTCCCAGCTCCATCAAGAGCGAATCTGGGCGGCTTTTAAACAATCTGAAGGGAACTCTCCACATTGTTGAAGAGTATGCGGGGACGTTAGATTCAGGAGAAGAAGGAACATGATTTCTGGAGGCCACAGCAGTCCTGGGAATGTGGTCGCTGTAAGCGCATAAGCGAGGGGATTTGGGAGGTTCAGACTCCTGCCCGCGGAGTCCTGGGGAGGGCCTGACCTGCGCCTTTCTTACTGGGGACACTCGGTACTATTCAGTTTTAAATTCATGAAGGTGCGCTGTCTCCTTTGTCACGTGCTTTCAAGCTGAGGAGGGAGCAAGATGTGGGTGTCATCAGGTGACCCCTTCTTCACGTCAGGGTTTGGTGGCTGTTTTGACAGCTCTCCCCTTCCTGTCCGCTTCCTGCAACCCATGCCTTGGGGTCTGAAAGCCTGCACTCCCCTTCTGCCACAGCTTCCCAGACCCTGGTATCTGGTTCTCCTGAGAAGGGGCCAGTTCAGCAGTCCCCCAAGAACTCCACAGCAGCACTCTCTTCGGGGGCTGGGGAATCCTCTCCTCTGCTCTGTTTTCCAGAGCTTCTGACCTTTCAGATACAGAACTGCTTGTTCCCACTGCTCCAAAATGCAGGAGACCCAAAGGCACTGGGCCCAGCCCTGTTTCTAAACAGACACAGCTTTTGATTTGTTTCTCTCTCTCTTCCCAAGACGTCTTTTCTGAGGACAAGGACCTTTCCCTGTCCCCCTCTCCTGGATGTGCTTTGGACGAGGCCCATGCAGGCTGGCAGCTAACTAAGCCCCACTCCTGGCTCAGCCCAGCCGGGGGAGCTATGAGCACCTCTTATCCTCCCTGGAGAGCCCTCATTAAAATTCAGAAAAACAAAGAGGCTCGACACATCAAAAACCCACTGGGGGGTTATTTTTGTGTGACTGCAGTGCCCTTCCCTGGTGAGCCACGAGGCTCCAGAGCAGGCAGAGGGGATGCAGGTCTGGTAATTATAAACTCGGGGATTTAGAGGCTTGGGGTCTGTTTTCCAGAGTCACACTCTCAGCCCAGAGAGCCCCCTTGGAATAATTCCCATGGCCCCAGAGAAGTTTCCATCCAGGCTGGATTTTCTTGAGCCTGCATCATCCTGAAACCCAAAGGGAAAAGTCTGTATTTCTAGTCCCTTAATTACTGGCAAATTCAATGGCCTCAGGAATCTGATACCGTTAGAGGTCTTCAGCCAGCCTGAGCCAGTGGCTGGGAGTTGCCTTCCCTCCTCCCTTTATTTTATAATAACAGCAGCAACAAGGTCTAACATTTATTGTGTGCTTACTGCCTGCCAGGCACTGGGCTCAGCACTTGATACGACTTACCTGGCTTAACCTCACAGTTGCCCGATGAAGCAGATGCTGTTTTGTTATCCCATTTACAGATAAGGAAACTGAGGTTCACAGAGGTTGAGAAATTGCTTAAGATTATCCAGCTACTGAGTGACAGAGCTAGAGTTCAAAACCAAGTTGTCTGACTCTAGAGCCTGTGCTTTTAACGTCTGTGTTCTTGTTCCCTCTCTGCTGCCTTTAGTTTAGGAAAGTAATCTGGCCTATAGTGGGCAGGCAGTCCCTGGGTGGTGCAAATGATTAACAAACTTGGCTGCTAACCGAAAGATTGGAGGTTTGAGTTCACCCAGAGGCACCTCGGAATAAAGGCCTGGTGATCTACTTCAGAAAAATCAGCCATTGTAAACCCTAACGAGCACAGGTCTACTCTGACACACATGGGGCTGCCATGAATCAAAGTAGACACAGCAGCAACTTTTCTTTTCTTTTTTATACTGGACAGATTTAGAAATGCACTGAGAGAAACTGCCTGCTACCCCTCGGACCCTGACCAGGCAAACATTCTTGTCTCTGGAAGTATGGCATGACCACAGAGTGGAGAGCTCTGCCAGGTCTGGGGTGTGAAGGTGCTCAGCTTGGCTGAGCTCGAGAGTCCTGGCCCCAGGGAGGCAGGGGTGCAGCCAGTGGGTCTGTGAGGAATAGCTATAGGTGAAATGAGCTAAGCCTGGACAAGAGTCAGGCTCAGGCCATATGGGACTAAGTCTCTTGTTGCCTGTCCTATGTCCTGGCCACACCCTGCCTGGACTTCATCCTTTAGCCAGGATTTAAGCATCATATGTGGTCAGAGGGCCTGAAGAGTGACATGTTATTCCAGAATCTATGTCCACCCGGTGCTTACCGACTTCTGAGATACCTTGCTTTTCTCACTCATACGTATGTTCCAGCCAACAGCATTGCCCACCCTAGACATCAGGGGCATCCCAAGAAGACAGCCCGAGAGGTCATGAGAGAATGGACAGGCAAGCCAGGGCCCCAGCAATGTGGCTTTCTGCAGGGGCACAAGGGAGGCATGGATCTTGATGCTGCCTCCTCCATGTGGCATGCTGACTGGTTCCTTACCAGTTTCTCCTAGACTGGCTCGTGTTACCTCTGAGCAGGCTTGAGAAGCCCCAGCTGGTCTCTAGCAAAATCTCCCATGGTGTCTTTGCCATTGGGCGGTAGCTTCAGGGTCGCTGTTCTTAGGCCAGGCTTTGGTGGAGAAGTTCGTACCTTCATGAAGTATTGATTGCCACCTACACCATGCCAGGCTCCGTTCTAGGCACTGCTAACACAGCCACAAACTAGCCAGACAAAACTCCCTCCCACGTGGAGGTTTCATCCTGGTGGGGGAAATGGACAGATCAGTAAAATAGCACGTCTCACGGTAATAGAAGCTATGGAGAAAAATAAAGCAGGAACAGGGGAGGGAATGTGGGGCAGGGGGTTGCAGTTTTACATGGAATGGTTAGGGAGGCCTCACTAGAAGGTGACATTTGAGCAACGACCTGGAGAAGGTGAAGGAAGGAGCAAGACTGGTATGTGGGGGGACATGGTTCCAAGTAGAGAGAACAGGAAGTGCAAAAGCCAGGAGGGGAGGGAATATGCCTGCTTGTTTGAGGACTAGCAGGAGGTCAGTGTGGCGAGGACGAGGGGAGAGCCTGGGCTTGTCACAGAAAAGGCCTCTGGGTGTGTGGGGTCTATTCCCTCCCCTGACATGGGCACTTTCAGGCCTCCCCTGGCTCACTCGGCAGTCTTTAGAGAACTTCCCTCAAACTACTGCACGGCCTTTTCATGCCTTGGGCTGGAAGAATCGGAACTGCTTATGCTACAGGGAGGGCAAGGAAAACAATGTGCTCCGTCTGCCACAGACTGGAGGTCAGGGGGCTGCTGCCAGCTCCCGCCATGCCAGGTGGTGCCAGGTGCGCAGGGCAGACAAAGCGGCATTGTCAGTCCTCTGCATGGAACGCTCCCTGGAAACATGCAGCTCCTGATGAAAAGTTCAAGCAGGAAATTCATCTGGACAGGCCTGTGGCTGAACCGGAGGTCATCTCTATCCCTGATTGTTGGCTCTTCCTTGCTAAACCACTCCAGATAGGCTTTTTGTTTTGGAAACTGATGCTACAACCTGTTCAGGTTGCCTGACCAACATGTGCCACTTAGATAAATCTAAGCCTTTCCTGCTTAGTGGTGAGGGAGGCTCCTGGGATCATCAGTGCTGCTTCCTACAGTGAAATAAGGAAGCCCAGCTTAGCATCCTTGCTTGGCTTACTCAAGCAGCATTGTGCTTCTTTCCTTGGGGCCCAAGAGGCAGTGGGGAAGGGGGAAGGTTCCAGAATCAGGCAGGCCTGGGTTCCAGGTCCAACTCTGCCACTTAGTAGCTGTGGAACCATGAACGAGCGATGTTCCCTTTCTGACCCTGTTTTCTCATCTATAAAATGGACGGATGTAATATTAATACTGTCCTCTGAGATTGTGATGCCAGTAAACACTGCTGTTGTTACTAGATTTTAGAACTGGTTGGGATCAGAAAGTGAGCATAGGGAAAGTCACATTGGCTATTTGATAGCGACAGCCCCTGTGTTTTGCTAGAGGGTATCACCTCCCACCTTCGCTTGTACACCATTTCTCAGCCATGGGGAGAGGTGTGGTTTGGCACCAGGGTTTCTTTTTTTTGTAACAGTTGTATTAAAGTGTAGTTTACATACCATAAAACTCACCCATTGTGAGTATCCAATTCAGTGATTTTAGTAAATTTGTACAGTTGTGCAGCCATCACCATAATCCTGTTTTAGAACATGTTCATCACTCTAAAATGTTCCCTTGTGTTTACAATTAATCCTGTTCCCACCCCAAGTTCTAGGGAACCACTAATCTATCGCCATAAATTTGCCATTTCTGGACATTTCATATAAATGGAATCATACAATATGTAGTCTTTTGAGTCTGCCTTCTTTCACTTAGTATGTTTTTGAGGTTTATCCATGTTATAGCACATAAAAGTAATTCATTCCTTTTTGTCATTGAAGGGTGTTCCATTGTATGGATGTATTAGTTTCCTAGAGTTGCTGTAAGAAAGTACCACAACCTCAGTGGCTTAAAGCACCAGCAGTGTATTGTCTCACAGTTTTGGAAGCCAAAAGTCTGCAATAAAAGTGTCAACAGAGCCATGCTCTCTCTGAAGGCTCTAGAGGAGGATCCTTCCTTGCCTCTTCTAGCTTCTGGTGGCCCCAGGCATTCCTTGGTTTGTGGCAGCATAACTCCAATCTCTGCCTCCATCTTCACATGGCCGTCTTCCCTCTGTGCCTGTCTTTGTGTCTGTTTCTTCTTCTCTTTTTATAAGGACACAAGGCATATTTGAGTAGGGCCCACCCTACTCCAGTATGACCTCATGTTATCTTAACTAATTACATCTGCAAAGACTGTATTTTCAAATAGAGTCATAGCCACAGGTACTAGAGTGTAAGACTAGAACATATCTTTTTTGGGGTCACAAGTCAAACTATAACAATGCGTATGCACCACATTTTGCTTAACCATTTGTCAGTTGATGGACATTTGGGTTGTTTCCTGTTTTTGGCTATTATGAATAATGCTGCTATGGGCATTTGTGTGCATGTCTTCGTGTGACTGTGTTTTCATTTCTCTTAGGTAGATTCCTAGGAGTGAAATTGCTGGGTCACATGATGTGTTTATGTTTAACTTTTAAGAAACTGCCAAGCTGTTTTTTAACACACCAGTTTATTTATTTAGTGTCTTCAGGTGCTTTAGAGCATCGGCATTAATTAAGCACTTGCTTTTTCTTG